AAAAAAAAAAAAAAAGTCAAATATAGAGCTGGGGATCCTATTCCAGAAAACATTGTGATTTGAAGTTCAGAATAGGAGACAAATGCAGAAAAGGGATATAATTGCTCAACAAATCAAAATATCATCTTTTTATAACTTTAGAAATAGAAAAAGGCTGTTAAAGACATTTTTCCCAACTGAATGATAACAGTTCAGCCTTTTGTAAGAAGGAAAATATACAAGCTAATTCCAAATTAGATGCCTGCAATATCGAGATTGGATTAGATTAAGTGATCAAGTTTTAAAAGACCTGTAGCACAAAATGGAAAAAAAATGTGTGAATTCCACTTTCAGAAAGATAGCTTAAAAACCTAACCTAGAGGATTACTATGGAGAATGGTAATTCTACTAAACAGCCCAAGTAAGCAATATCTTTTACAGCTTCGAGTACAAAAGGATTCGACTTCAGCATGCAGCAATCTAATAATTCAATATTTTTATGAGCTATGATGGTGTCTCTTTTCTTTTGGTCAACAGCCGAAATGCATGTAGTATTTTTCTTAGGAGTCCCTTCCTTATGCCAAAGAATTGAATATTATTGAATTACTTGATTAGTGAAGAAGTTAATGATTTACTGAAAAAAACCAACAGCGAAGTGCACAGAAAATGATTTACTAGATAAGTAACGAGGTCCAACCTGAGTAGAACCAGTATCATGATTCTCAATAAAAGTAACAGCACGAGATGGCCACCACCCCACCACCCCAGGAGGTTTTCCTTTCTCATCTGATAATCGCCAATATTCACATCTTCCAAGTGCCTGAGCGATACAGAAAAACAAATGCTCATACAGAGGAGTCTTCTGTTTATCCTAATCTCATGTCCAAAGATAATAAAGTAGGTAATCGGAAAAAAAATAAATACAAGAAAGAAAAAGAAAAACCCAAAATCAAAATAAGAAATCGTGTAAACAATAAGCTTACAGAATGGAGAATCCCTTTTGTTGTCACATCAAAAGCCCCAGCAGTTCCATTAGTAGCATTAATCCAGTCAATGATCCTCTGTCTATGTCCATCTTGATTGTGATCCATTTCATCATACGTGTAACGAAGGGAATCCCAGTATTCTCCTACGGCAAAGTGAGGCTCACTTGCTTCCAGGTAGTCCTTGACATAACCACCCCAAAACCCCCGCGCAAAATCAAGCCTCCATCCATCATAACCAATTTCTTCTCTGTATGTCCGTAAATACTAGTCAAATGTCAGCACCTTCCATACCCATTTCATGGGACGAGATATATTTTATGCATACCGCAGAAAATTATTACAGTATATGTCCAAGTAAAAGATAGAAAATAAACAAAAACTTGGTTTTTTCCCCAAGACCCTGATTTATTTACATGCATGAACAATCTAAATTATAAAGTGGGGATGCATACTTAAATGCAAACTTAAGATACTAACAACCTAATTACCTGCAAGGATCTAACAACCAATGGTATTAAAAAGATGCACATACATACAATTCCTATCTTACCGGCATTAAACATAGGTAGAATTTACATTTAGAATTAAGTTTTTGAACTACCAAATCTCTAAACTATCTCCAGTTCGTCTGGATTATTACTACTGTAATTGGTCCTAAAAAATATTAGTCATTATGGAATGCCGAGAGTGATAGAGGAAGAAGACCACAGTAAAAGGGATGAAGAAAACTCATATAAAGTCTTAACCGAGTACAATTATTTAGAGGACAGAAATAAAGTATCAATGATCCAGGTTACCAAACTTAAATATATTCTAATCTTCTAAACAAGGAAATAAAATATATGTTAACAATAATAGTTTCATAAGATAGGGTAGTCAATAATTCTTCAAATCAGCACCAAATATCTCGGAATCTTCAACACTCCCCTTCAGGCTGGATGATACAAGTTAAATAATCCTAACTTATCCACCATTTTCTCAAACACAGGTTTAAACAATTATCGCAGTACACTTCCATGGGCTTATTCTCCTGCATACCAAGTTCATCTAACAGTAGTTTTAACCACATTATTTCACAAATTCCGTGTGCCAACCTGTGCACTACTTCTGGTCACAATTGATTACTTCTTACTTCTCCAAGTGACTAAATTTCCCCACACAAAGGTACAATAGCCAGTTGTAGATCTTCTGTCCATTCGTGATCCTGCCCAATCAACATCGGTAAACGTTTTAATAGATCTTTCTGAATTCTTTTGGAAGAAAAGTCCAACTCCAAGAGTCCCTTTTAAATATTTCAAAGTCTGATAAACAGCTTTCATATGCTCCTCAAATGGGGCATGCATAAATTGACTTACAACACTAACTGCAAAGGCTATGTTAGGTCTGGTGTGTGACAGATAGATGAGTTTACCCACTAGACGCTGATATCTTCCTTTATCAACAGATGTACTTCCTGAGCAATCCCCTAGTTTGTGATTGGGGTTTATAGGTACATCAACTAGCTTACTTCCTAGCATTCCCGTTTCTCTTAAAAGATCCAAGACATACTTTCTTTGTAAGGTGAGATTCCACTCCTTTTTTAGCAACCTCTAGTCCAAGAAAGTATCGCAAATGACCTAAGTCTTTTATTTCGAATTCGGTCGAAAGAGCCTTCTTCAATCTCTCCATTTCTTCATAGTTATCACCGATCAGGACTATATCATCTACTTAGACTATTAGAATAGTGATTTTACCACCTGAGTGTCTGTAGAATAGTGTATGATCAAACTGAGCCTATTTGTATCCTTGTTGACATACAGCTTTCATGAACCTACCAAACCAGGTTCTTGGAGATTGGTTTAGCCCATATAAGGATTTTTCCAATTTGCAGACCTTTCCTTGGATCTTAGCTTCATCAAACCCAGGGGAAGCTCTATATATTTCTTCTTCCAAGTCCTCATTCAGGAAAGCATTTTTTACATCTAGTTGTTAAAGATGCTAGTCTAGATTTGCTGCTAGTGTCAGAAGGGCCCTCATTGTGTTTAATTTTGCAACTAGAGCAAACATTTCTTGATAGTCAACTCCATTGGTTTGTGAGTNAAACGGTTAGTGGGGTTGTGTAATTATGTATCCGGGTAGGCATTCTGTTGATAAGGTAACATGCAGTAAGGACTGCATATCCCCAAAAATATTTTGGAACCTTACTGGTAAACATAAGTGCTCTAGCAGTTTCAAGTAAGTGATGGTTTTTTCTTTCGGCAATACCGTTTTATTGGGAAGTGTTTACACACGAGCTTTGATGTATAATAGCTTTTCAGTGAGAGTTTCCCAAAACATGATTGAAGTATTCCCGGTCATTATCAGTTCGAAAATTTTTTATCCTTGTATTAAACTGGGTTTGAATCATAGAGTAAATTTTTTTTAAAGGTTTGTGCAGTTTCAGACTTATCTTTTAATAGGAAAACCAACATACCCTTGTATGATCATCAATAAAAGTTATTAACCAACGTTTGTCTGTAATGCTCTTAGTCCTAGAAGGGCCCCATAAGTCATTATGTATTAAAGCGAACGATGATGATGATTTATAATCATGAGAGGAAAATGAAGAACGAGAATGTTTAGCTAGTTGACACACATCACATTGATAATTATCTTTATTGTGAAACAAAGATGGAAATAAATACTTAAGATATGAAAAACTAGGATGACCTAAACGACGATGCCACAGCATAAGAGTTCTCTAGGGACAAGCTCACAGCTTGCAGTTTGAGCTTATTTATTCAAGTAGGTGTCCTCCAGAAAATAGTATAGCTCTTCACGTTCTTTAGCATTGCCAATACTGTTCCTGAAGTCAGGTCCTGAAACAAACATACTGACTTGGTAAAGTTCACACTACAATGCAAATCATTATTTAATTTGCTAATAGAAAGCAGATTGCACGAAAGTTTTGGAACATGTAAAATAGATTTTAGTTCCAAAGATGGACTTAGTCTAATAGTTCCAATTCCAGCGATCGGGGAGAGTGACCCATCTACTCTTTTTACTTTAAAATTTTTTGGGCATGGTGAGTAAGAATGAAACAATTTTCCACAGCTTATCATATGGTCTGTGACTCCCGAGTCAATAGCCTAATGTTCAGTACCCTGCCTACTCGTCAATGCTGAAATATAATTACCTTTTTCAGCCAACAGACTG